TTGGTGTTGCAGGATCTTCTTCTAGGTCAAAAATTCCCAGTGATCTTCCCTCCTCCCCAGTTTGTTATGGGCTCCACATGGCAGACTGGAGCTCAGCAAGGGGGCCTTCCCTACTCTACTCTGTGCAGCTAAATGCCTCGTGTCATTCGTGGCCCTGGGGTTAAAAGTGGTCTTCCTGTCTCCTCACCACGTGATGGGCAAGGCTACACACAGATTTCTTGCATCTGCTCTGAGTAATCTAGAGTATGGCTGTCAAGACCTAGAGTCCTAGGGCCGGCACACGACTCACTCGGGAGAGTGTGGTGCTGATAACACCAAGGCTGCGGGTTCGGATCCCTATGTAGGGATGGCCGGTTAGCTCACTTCGGAGAGCATGGTGCTGACAACACCAAGTCAAGGCTTAAGATCCCCTTCCTGATCATCTTTAAAAAAATAAAAAATAAAAGACCTGGAGCCCTGTGGTTAGATAAGGTTCCTTTTAAGTTCAAAATATGCTTTGACAGTCTGTCAATTTGCACACAAGTACATTTGTTAGATCCATCATGAAGACAATACATTTCTGTAAGCCTCCAGATGCCCTCAGCTGCTAATTATCCAGAATATCAGGAAAAACGTGCAGCCAGGAGGAAAAATAAGCAAAAAGGTACCCAAAAGTAGCTAATCTGAGCTCCCAAAACTACTCAGCCGAGCTGGAGTCCTCAGCCTTCTGCTGCACTGACTTGCTCCTTACTGAGGAGAGAGACTTGCACTCAATCAAGGATGTTGGCTCAATATCCCTCCATGTGCGGCATCTCCATGTCCTCTCTGGTGCACAGGGTCCAGAGGACGGCAAGACAACCAGGAACAAGCAGGTCTCAGCTCAAGGAATGGCCCAGGTGGATACAGAAACACAAACAGTGCAAGGTCCCAAATATTCATAAGCTGATCATCACAGATCTTTCTGAAAGGTCTAGCTGATGTGACAACAAATTTAATTAAACTGAGATTGTTGAAACTGGTTTTCTTTTTTCACACATGTGAACCCTTTTCCTGATATTCCGGCTAACAGACCGATCACTGTTTGCACATCTCCACAGCGAAGTGCAACTCACATTTAACTGCTGACTTCCCATTACATTTTCTCGATTCTCCAAGTTTTCCACAACGACTTGTATTTCTATAACTATACTCAAACCTTAGAGGGTCTGTAGTAGCACTACAGTTGGAACAAGCCTACAATAAAGCTGCCAGCTATAAGCAACTTGAGGTATCACAACACGAGGCCAAAAAGTCCGGTTGCTCAGGAAGTCATCTCAGGAGCATGATGAGAAGTCCACACTCATGGCTTGTCCTCATGAGCCGCACAGAGCTGCTCCCCCACCTGCCTCGGGAACAAAAGAACACTCCCCCAACACCACTCTGGGGACCTCCTATGTCCCAGCTGCTGAGACTCCCCAGAAGTTGGTCGGAATTCCATTTTAGCTCCACAGTGTACATTCCAGACAGACTGTCGTTCAAGGAGAAGCCAGTACAGAGATGTGACATAATAAACTTCTCAGTGTTTGTGTTTAAAAGCCCACCCCAGGCTGGTTCCCATCAGCACAGCACAGCACAGCACAGCGAAGCCAACTGTTCTCTTCTGTGGGGCTGGAGCAGGAAGCTTTGCTCACTGACTGCAAGGCAGGGAGGACTCATCAGTCCATGACAAAATGTTCTAGAGGCCATTTCCCAGGTTTGGAAAAGAACAGCATTAACATCTTCAAACTTTGCCCTCCCTTCCCATCCAATCTCAGCCCTTCCCAGCTCCTTATCCTCTGCTAATAGACTCCTGCCATGTTCCTTGTCACCAATCTTCACTCAGCTAAACAGCTCACCCCTGCACCTGTTCACACAAAGTAGGTTTTGTTAGTAGTTGCGTGAAGTGCTCAGACACCACACAAAAGCACGCTAAAAACATCCAGACGTCTCTGTACTAACTTCAGGATTCTCCCGAGTAAAATGGGACCCAATTATTAGACTACACAGTTATCCATCCAGAGTTTGACAGGACTTAAGGAAAAATTCCAGAAACTATCCTTATTCTTTCTGTTCCCAGGTGGTTTTCTTAGAAATTGTGCATTTATAAAACTTAGAGGTGTGTCCACTCCAAATAGGCAACACTGAAACTTTCATGGAACAATGAACAGGAGCAGTTCCATGTGCTTCTAGAAACTTCTACATGGATTTTAGTGCAATCAAATATTTTAAATCTCTTTCTTGATAACTGAAATTCACTCTCTCCATCTCCACTCAACTACTTTGAGCTAATAAAAAGTGGAGACAGCATTAATTACCTATATAACCATGGCTTAGAAAAATTTCTAGAGCTCAATTAAAAGAGAAATTTAGTTCTAAAGAATCAACTGTTGCTACCTACATTTGTCTATTGTGGGTATATATGCACCTGCTTTTCTAAATTTATATACGCTATTAAAATGTGATCAACTAATAAAGCTTAGAAGTCAACTACTGCATTTCATGTTAAAACAGAAAAGTTTTAAGGCTCCTCTCTGCCTCTGCATGAATTTTTGCAGTAACTTCCTCAATAAACAATAAATGCTAAAACATGCTTCAACAGGGTGATCTCTACTGGTACTATACAAAAACCCAAAATCTGCTGTGCAAACCCAACCCGTATGTACAGCTGCCCAGGGCATGCCACTCAGATGTGAACCCTGCCAGAGCCCAGCCACAGAGCAACACCGCAGCAATGTGGAAAGGCAGCAGCAAGCCAAGAGGTGCGCTCGCTCTCGGGATAAAGCAGTCCTGAGTGTGGATTAGAGTCCATTTCCATGCAGCCTCTCTGCCGTGCTCGCTGCACAGAAGCGGAAGTCACAGGAGGTACGTACGGCAGGTGTAAACATCTCTGTACTCCATGTGCTCGTAATCGGGAAGAATTTTCATAAAACGTCCCGACTTCACACGAGGGTTTATACCTGAACAGAAACAGCGGGGAAAGGGCTAAAGATGGTTCCACTTGTCACAACTGTAGAAAGAGCAAACGACACACACCCTCTTCCTCACCAACATGATACGATTCCTTTACATCTGCACAACCACTCAAGACATTGGGAGGCGAGCTCCTTCCAAAGCAGACAAACCTGGCTGGAAAGAACTTTTTTTTCCTTTTTGCTTGGGTTTTCCCTGCAGAAGCGCATGGCAGCAGGCACATTCCCACTGCTCCCTCAGCCGGCTGCCGGCACATGCGTAGCAGGGCCCAAGCCACAGCTCAGTGGGGCTCAGGAGAGGGGAGAGCAAGTGCGTGGCTGATGGGGATCCGGGACAACCATCCAGGGGATCCCTGCCCCCCATGCTATTCTCCAAACCCACCATTTCCCTTCATCTTTGCTGAGTTTTCTTTCAATATTGATTATGGAGGGCATTTCCCAGCCCGCCAACTCAATTCAGACCTCATCACTGCTAAATCAGGTGGCCAACGTGACCACATGTTCCAGGAACTAAGGTTGATTTTCTTCGACCACCTGTTCCCAAAGCTAAGTCATTTTCTCCTGAATAAGGCTTTCAAAGCAAATTCACAAAAAAATAGTGCCTGCACTGTGAAAATTAAAACTGAAATTCCCTTTGGCCAGTGCAGATTTAACACTGTGTGGTGCTAAATAACAGCTAATATGCATTATTCTCTGTATTTTGCCAACATTTTCAAGGGATCAAGAATCAGCAGTGACAAAAATCTCCAGATGTCCTTGTCTGCCTGTCCCTCTGCCCTGCCCTCAGCCACCCTGTCTCCTGCCCTCAGCCACCCTGTCTCCTGCCCATAGTCACTACACACCTACCTGCCTACCTGTGCCCAGATGGTCTCTCCCATGGGACAGGGGAACGCAAGGCCCGGGTAGGCCCTCTGCCCACAACTGAGATGAGCTCTCACGTGTGCACTCCTCTGAGTGTTACAGGATGCTTTATCACCTGGGCAGGTGCAAACACCTGGGTCCCTTCCAGGATGTGACTTTTTTTTTTTTTTTTTCCTTTTTGTCTTTTTTTTACTGACCGGTAACGGGATCGCAACCCTCGGTGTTGCGCCCACACCGCGCTCAGCCAGTGAGCGGGAACCGGTCTCCACATGGGATCCGAACCCTCGGCGGGAGCGCCGCCGTGCTCCCAAGCGGCGCACTCTCCAGCACGCCACTGGGCCGGCCACAGGATGTGACTTTTGATGCTTATAACTCTTAAAGAAAAATCTGTCTTCATGTTACTTTGAGATGAAGTCAAGTGAGCTGACAAACTCAAAAAGCTTTCAGAAGATGAAACTTGATGTATGAGATACTCAAAGAAAACAGCTGACCATCCAAAAAAAGTCCACAGCTTTATCCAAAGAGTGAGAAACAGGCAAGTCCCCAGCACTGACAAAAGGCCAGCTGGAAGGACAGTGTGGGGCTGAGGGACTCTGAGCATCAGTGAACGTTGCCAGTGACTTTGGAAAGCAAAAGAATCGGAGAAACAGGAAACAGGGGAGCTTCGCAGGCTCAAGCTGCTTACAGAAAATGGAAGGAAAGGCAGAGCCACATGAGGATGGGAAGCGCCATGCAGGGAGAGCATCTCTGTCGATTGAGGGATCAGACAGAAGACTGCGTTTCACTCCCAATCACTCCTGGCTGTCCACACCTGTCGGGCAACAGGCCCAGAGTCTAGAGAAACAGACAACTCCAGAAGCACCAGAGCTGTTTCCTGTACAGCCCACTTCTCAAATCTAAAGGTCCTTGAGGCCTAATGAAACACCTTCGCCACGATGGACTGAAAAGTAAGGTCAGTGACCAGCCCAGAACAAGAGAGAAGAGAATGCCCCCTGCCCTGCATTTTAGTGCCATTACCACCAATGCTGCATTTAAAATGTCAGCTGTGACTGTAAGATGGTGTCTGAGAAAACAGAACTGTGGGCCAAATCACTTTAATTATTCATTGTTGATGCTCACTGTCTGCTTTTGGAACAAAGTTAATGATGGATGATAACAAGTAGATTAACTCACGCTTCGCATAGACGTCCCGACAAGACACGCCCGTGATCTCCAGCTTCCGCAAGTTTTCACAAACACCGTACTCTGCAACAAGAAACATGTACCGAAATTTAAAATCAAGAATCTCAAAGCAACAGAAGTGGATGGGCTGATGATGGAAGAGAGAGGGAAGAGAGGTGGACACATGTGCCAGCCTCCGCCCATCTACCAAGCCTGAGCCCGTCTTCCATTGTGGAGACTGTACTGGACTTCTCCACACCGAGTCAATGCCCGTGTTCACCAATAAAGCCGTTACTCTATTTTAGTCAATGTCACCCTCGATGAAATAAAAATCTACATTGTCTAGTCTAATGAGTTCTAGTAGCCTAACCACAAAACCAAAAATCAGACAATCTGTAGTTTATGAATAAGGCATGCCAGAAATTCGCTTGTCTGGAAACAGTGCCATGTTTCCACGGAATTGAGATCGCCACTGGTGCTAGGGCTCAGACAGCTACAAAGGTCTGTTCAACACCCAGTGTAACGCACCATGCTACCAATTTTGCTCCACTCAGCCACAAGACCTGTCTCAAGGACCATGGACCATACTGGAAGGAGGAGCTGGACATCCTCTACCCCCCTGCATCGAGCTGCCCTGGTCCAGTGGCCAGTGAAGGGGCTCCTTGTCCCCTTCCCTACCTCCCTGTCTTCACACCCTCACTCCAGCTGAGAGCACCTCCTGCTTCCTTCTCTCCATCCCCTGCTCCCAACCCACCACAGCTCGCCTTCTGACAGTCACCACCACCAGCACCCACACGTGTGGCTCTCAGCTCTCCGGGGCCTTGGGGCAGGGAATGTGCTGTGAATGGCAGAAACCTGGACGGCCCCATCAGCATGAGATTCCCTGAGCAGAAACCACCTCGCACCAGACAGCCACCTTGTCTGCATCTTGAGCTGTACCTTGAATGCTGTCGAAATTCTACCAGTTACAGAAGCATCTGGGCTGATAACACCCATTTGATCAAAAAAGGCAAGGCCCTTTGGAGGATTTAGGGACTATCAAAAGCAACGTGCTGGGCCGGCCCGGTGGCACACTGGAGAGTGCGCCGCTTGAGAGCGCAGCGGCGCTCCCGCCGAGAGTTCAGATCCCATGTGGAGACCGGTTCCCGCTCACTGGCTGAGCGCGGTGCGGGCACAACACCGAGGGTTGCAATCCCGTTGCCGGTCCCCGGTATGGGCGCGACACCGAGGGTTGTGATCCCGTTACCGGTCAGTAAAAAAAAGAAAAAAAGAAAAAAAAAAAAAAAAAAAAAAAA